ATGAGTCTAAGATAAGACGTATATATACCAGGATTTATTGAGGATTCAAAGTGCCACCTCTATCGTGTTTTAAATCAGCCCTGTGAAAAATTGACGTTTTGGAAGAAAACGGTTTATCTTATTTAGGGACGGCCTACATCCACCTAACCTGTGACGCCCCACAATCATGTGGACTGGTGAGTGAATGTCAGCAACATATCCATTTGGGACATCTGCAGTTGGGGAGAATAAAATCTGTAGTCAACTTCTGTGCCGCATCACTAAGCCCAAATGGTTTTAGTTTGTTTTTGGAACGATAAAGGTGTGGTTGTATCAGCTGAAGTGTGATGTTCTGTGGTGTTTGCAACGATGTACTCTGCTGCATTGACTACCACGGTAAATTTTGGAAACGGGCAGCGAAGTTGCCGAGTACGATTGACGAACCGTAAACCGTGAAAATGTTTGCAATGAAATAATTACTGTTCTTATTAGGTGGTTACTTAAATGATTACCAGTGCTGATGTATTGGTTGCCGCCAGAAATAAATTTACCCAAAAACAGTTATCGATAAATTGCCATGTTACAGCTAAGGGATTAGGCACACATGTGAGCGATTTTCAATGATCAATTAACTGACTGAACATAACTCAAAGAAACTACTTGTACTCAACAGTAAGGTCAATCGTAATAGGAGATAGAGCTCGATTCAAAAAGGCTTCAATAGAGAAGCTTATGTTTAGCACTATGGCTGCTTCAGTAGTAGAAAGCATAATACAAAGACTTGGAATCGGCAACGGAAGTGAAATGAGACAAAATAAATGTTTCGTGAGCTGTTTCACCTCATTCTTTGTCATCACATTTAACTGATGATTAGATTAATAAATGTTTGCTCATCATCATCATCATCATCATCATCATCATCATGTACCATCAATACTTTTTCTCTAAGTATTGTGAAAAAACAAAGGAAAGAGAAAGTTATATTTAACTGGATAAAGAAGTCCAACCACTAGCTTGTTGGTGTAGGCATTTATAGAAAAGTTTTATCAATCTCTAAAAGAAATCCACTTACAAGTCGGATGAGTTGTCAAAGTTAAATAAATAAAAAGAGTTTTTCACTTTAAATTTAACTTCAAAATGTTTCAATCCTATTGTAGCTACATAAGTGGCTGGCAAGTCTTCCGTGGCACAGGTTCAGCAGATCACTCATAATCAAGGTTCCAATGAAATAATGATTATTTCTGCAGAGATTTCTCCAGCAAAGGCATCAAGGTAGGCTTACCCATAGGTAATGTGAAAGGATTGATATTCTCCTGCCTCAAAAATGTGTAACACAGGTGGACCGATCAACTCTATCACTGGAGCGACGGAGTAGTGCAGTCCCGGTTTGTTGATATTTTCATGTCAACTGTGGACAATGAGGCGTCTTGTGAGGATTAAATGATTATATTTTGTTCGTGCTCAATTAAACAATGGACTACGGATATTCGAAAATAATCTCAGCGTTGCACATTGGGAAGTAACATTTGCGATGAACACAAAAGGAGTAAGCGTATATTTATGTATACTTAACTAAATATCATGACGGATCGATTCGATTGCTGGTACGTAGAGAGGTGATGTGTAATGAACAGCACACTCACTTCCGTGATTTCTACAGGTTTACAGTAACGAATAGCCCCAGGATTACAAAACTTTGCAGAGAGTAGATGATCGCTGACGAACTAGAAGATGTGTTGAACAATTTCTTAATGGATATTTTTAAGGCTAACCAGACCTTTTGAGGCAAATACACGAATCTCTTCCTAGAAGGATTGAAACTGAGAAATGGTTGTTTACAGCTCGGGCTATTGAACTGGGAATGTCCATATCCATAGTACTTTTAGAGTGAGCTACATTTAAGGCCTTAATAGTTGTGGTTGTTGTGGCATAGATAAAAACAGCCCAATCACCAAAGGCCACCCCAGAGCTTCCCACACGAGTCTCTCAATAAAATTGGTTATACGAATAAACCCATGATCTATGTAATGAAATGGGTTTTTACTCCTTCTTGCGGAGGTATCCTGAATCAGTCTCTCCCTCTCTAAATGCTCAAAGGAATTTTGCAAGCACTCAACATTCTTTGGTTGAAACTTCATTACATGTTTGGTCCTGACGTATATGAGGGTGCAATAAGTGGCTCACAATCTCAAAAGTTAAGTGTGAAATCATTTCAAACCCAGATGATTCTTCAAAAGAGCAATGGAGTGGCGAACTTGCTTTCTCTAAGGGCTATATCTACCGGATAATTTTAGTACATTACTGCATTTCGTAGGTGGATAAAGTACTAAAAGTAATCAGTTGTCCTCATTTACCTGAACCAAGACAACTGATTTGTTTGAAAACGGATTGCCTACGGTGCACAGCGGGCTACTCGAAGTATCGTAAGCAGAGAAGGAATCAGTTGGTGTATGAGTTCTTAAGAGTGAGTTACGCTCAAAAACCAAACCAATGAAAGATTTGTGGGAAAAGATTGATAATGTCGCACACGAATAGACTATCTTGATCACTGATAGCCAAGCGATCGCATCCGTCACCCGCTGATACCTTCTCAACCGATCAATCTATCGACTGGCCCGCGGTATGACAAACACTGCTGACTGATCTACGGTCAAGTTCTCTTATACCTCTTTTTTAGAAATGTGCTTATAAAGGCTCAAAAATAGCGTTTGCATATATTCAGAGTTTTAATCTGATTTCAAAATTTGTTCAATAATTTGTAGCATTAGAACTCAACCGGTGATTACTAAGCCCATACTATGATATTTTGGGCAGTGCAAACTCCATTTGTATGAATCTGTGTTGGTTATTACGGGTTAGGTGCACCTGACCCGGATAAACTCGATATCAGAGTCAGTGTTCAGTATTCTCATAGCAAATGATGAATGAGTGGCTGGACAAAATTTTCTAGAGACACACTAACGGTTTCGCAGTTCTTGCAGCTCGTCAGATATGCGTACCCGATAATCCTTTGTCAAATGGTTCTTATACTTGTGCTATATTTATTGTTGATTCGAAATGAACATCCTTCGAACATTAACTTCACGCACAATTCTCAGCTCATCTAATCAACCATAGGCTTGGAAGTGCAAGATTCAAGGTTAGGTCTCCTTAGAGTTCATCAGTAGGGCATAACCACCGTCCCGTCCGGACTTTGAACTTCGGATCCATCCATGGAAGATGTGTGTTACAACTTTGTCAACCAGTTCATACCAGGGCTGAAATAAATTGTAAATTAACGTTCGTTCAGGTGACTTCTTTGGTTAATTTGAGCGCGATTGTGCTAGGTGGTGTCCGAAGCATGGTTAGGTAAGATCAGTATCAATTATCCCACACCAATACTCACAAGTAACTAAGTTAAATGCGATTATACATATATTAATCGATCTCAGGCGACCCCTTGATCGTTAACAGATGCCCATGTTGTAATACCTAACGTTTTGAGCTTCATTCTCTGGAATGAGAACATTCTGCACCTTGAGAATGAAGTACTTCCAACTTGTGTTCCATTTGTTTCCTGTAAAACTGTTCAGACATCATGGACGTTTAAAATTATTAATTCATATAGTCAACTTGATCATCTGTACTCCTTATTGCGTCAGTGGATGGATAAAGCATCGATGAAGTAAGGGTAAAAAATCATGATTTTTTTGTTAATCTACAGAACATTTGTTGCTTTGGTAATTTGAGAGTTTTGAAATAATCGAATCCCATGGTGAAATTGAACTGGTGAGTAAGAAGAAAAGCACTGCTAAAGGAATTCCATTCGTTAGGTTTCATTGGTCTTCTAAGTATAAAAATATACGAAATTGGCTTACCCGAAGTGAAATAAGTTATCTTGTCAAGTTTTATAAGATTTCAGTCTGTGTGCATGTGTGTGTGTTAGTGTCTAGTTGAGCAGGACTGGTTACCATCAGGGCAGGCCACTTGTAAAAGTTTTGCTCTTCTGATCACACAGGATGGGTTGATTACTTTTTACCGCTTGTTGTAATAGCCACGCATAAAGTTGGAATAAAAATTTGCTGTTTCTTCAAATCCGTATTACAGGAATGCTTTGCAGTAGAGTTGCAATTTCGGGAAACATTCGCTGCTTGTCATCATTGCAGACCAATTGTGTGCAGATATTTTTTACATCATTAGCCTCTGAATTGCAACTTAGTTTGACGTGGATTTTCGGACTGATGAAAGGATAATGGTTACTGGTACACCGCATGTCGCAACTCATTATGCAGATCTGCAAAACGGTTTAGCTGCGCAATTTACATTTGATCTCAAATGATTTATCTCGAAATGATAGAAAATAACGTGACTCATGTGTGTTCGCGCGTGCAAACTCCCATACACATCGAAGTCAGCACGCCTACACAGGGCACTAAACAGCAGTCACCTGATCGTCAACACCAACGCCCCCCACGATAGGCCTGTGCATCAGCTGTCACACGGGGTAATTCAGTGATCTACATTTTTTTCTCCACAATGTATAGTGAGTGGGATTGCGCAGAGCAACACCGGATTCATTTATCATAACGAACGGAAGTGAGCAATTACGCAGATGATCTATTGTCAGAAATCGGAGGGCATTATTTAAATACGGATCACTCTCTAGGTCACAATGAACCAAAGTCCAAGTCAGCCTCGTCCTCACTCATAATGCATGCCCAACCGTTTGGTCTTCTGGTGTTGATTCTGTTCGCGGCGACTACGGCCATTCAACGTGAGTTCACAGCATTTCCACAAAGACGCTTTGCTTTAAAAGAAAATGTCTTTTTACTTCCATTATCTATTTATTGAATATACAAATGTACAGTCAACTTTTAGGAAGGAGGCTGTGTCCATACAAAGGCTGCCTGGAGAGAATACAGATATAGAAAGAAGGGCGGCGGTGGATCGGTTTGAACANAGGTCACTAGTTGGTGACCCAACCACCTGGCTACCACCGCGCTTTAGGTCGGACCACCATCAATCATGCTAACTCTAAGTGACTATTATTATTATTATTATTATTATTATTATTATTATTAGTAGCAGTAATAGAAGTTTCACCGTGGCATGATTTTTTTAACCAGTAGTAACCTAAATTGCGGAAAACTCATCGTAAATACCATCGCTTTGAGAAATGAATTGACACCTGAATTGCTTGTGTGAATTGCTGTGCATCACATATTTGAGTATGAAAGCTCCATCCAGCTGTTTTGTTTTACATTATCNNNAATTTACATTTTTGCGATCAGAGCAGTTCTGCGGCTATGTAAAAGTTGAAGGAGCGCAAAGTTAATCGAAGTATGATCATGGTATGCGATCAAATTACAAGTTTACCGATTGGATCATGAATGATTGAGTTTGTAATTTCTACTTACAGAACGATGTCTTCTTCCCAAGGAGACAGGGATGTGTATGGCTTATATACCAAGTTACGCCTACAATGTTGAGACCGGTGAGTGTGAAAGATTCATCTACGGTGGATGCGGAGGAAACGACAATCGATTTGACACACAAGAAGAATGCATTCAAAATTGTGGTTACCAATTTCCTACCCAGTTTTTGGATGATTAAAAGATGTGCATAGTTTAATCAATACACAATACATTACATTGGCTATTGCTTCTCTCTTTCAACAAAGCGCAATCAAATTTTAGATTTGACAAATTAAATATTGGGAATGAGTGGTCTTTTATTCTTGATTACCCTACATTGGTGTTTATGTTCAAGGAGGAATAACGTGTTCAAACCAATGGTACGAATAAAAGATAAAATTTTCCACATAAAGCTGCATGATCAACAACAAATGGAGGTCTGAAACAGTTTCGCTGTTTAAATAAGTTTTTGAAAACCCTCCTTCTCAATTTAGCCTCGTACAGTGCACTATAACTGATACAATTTTAAGGTTTTTTCCCTTACTTTAGTCAGTAAATAAGTAATGTGGGGAGGTTAAATAGTTTTCAAACATCTACAGATAAGTATGAAGTTGATGGGTTGCATGATCACCAAAAAGCAGAGGTTGTGTTCCAATTAGTCCGTTAAATGCAACGAATAAGTTTTAGTCAGAAAAGCTTTAATGTACGTGAAATTTGATAGAATTGAACTCTATATTAGATTGGCAGCTGGGCAGTCCAAAAAATGAAATACAATTATATAGAACAAAATAATGTCATTTATACACCATCTGCTTTCAAATGTGCACTGGTTCAGGACAAAGAGTAGGATTTTTGCGAGTTGTAATAAATCGCCAAAATGTGTCAACTGAGTTCGACGGCTATTCTGGCAGAGTTGTATTCCTGTTGCATTCGCTCGGTTCATTCATATTTGCTTTCCCATTGGGTTTAAGCATCAGTACGCATTCATCACCGTCTTAGATACCATGTTCCTATTGATCAGGGTTCGGACACACACATTATATGTGATCACCAACTCCATCCATAGTGACCTTCATGTGAGCACGTGCGTAATCAGGTACAACTGAAATTTGTGACCATTTGAGGTCTGCCGCGGATTATGGACAGTGTTTAACTGACAACAACGCTCGTGGTTCTTCGATGAACACAACAGACCCTAGTGCCTCCGTCAGATACTGCGGATTTCACAGTTTTAGAACAGACCCTATCTATGAGTCGAAACTTCGTCCTTTCAAATGGTTTTCTTTCGGCCCTCAACATTGAGGGTAATCCATTGTTTGTGTAACTTTTAAAACCCAGTGTGGAGATAATTGAGAGCATGTAAATCACACCCAGGATTCTCATGGTTTTACTAAATGTGTGTATACTTTAACACGGTTTTGATATAGTTGCCATCGAATAAATTCATCAAGGAACCTGTATTCTATGAGTTCAGGTTTGCTGCGGCAAATAAAATCTAACAAATATAGACTCTGTATTCATCCGTCATGAAAGTTCATTTTAAATTCAGGTTTGTTCCGGAAAAAAATGAATTCTCCCGGTCTAAATACCCTTTTAGTGTCCTGATCCAAAATCATTACAATGATTCCTGATTATATTGATTCAGCTCACGTTTTTCTTGAGATAGAATTTTGCGTCCGACAACGATTGTCGAACAGTCAGTTCACTTTCGCTGAAACGCATTGGCAGTGCATCTTACAGTTTTATCTCCTTGTCAGGACTCGAACAGTGCAACTTCAAGTTACTTTATAAAATTGGTTTCAAAATAATCAACTGGAAAATAAGAAGAAATCACTGAACTGACAGCATTCCACTTGCATTTTGGCACATTTTAAGGCACTGGTTTCCGTGGATGGTCAGTTAATTTGAATCACTCCTTGCGATTTAGAGTGTTCCCATTTTTCCAATCTCGTTTCTTTTAATTTCCGTGTTTGAAATTGTGGGCTCAATTTCACAAGGCAGATTTTTAAATCGGAAATTCGATGAATACTGGGTTTTCGAATGGAAAGCTCTAAATAATATTTAATGGAACACATGATTTCTTCATAAAGAATACCAAAGTGAAATACGCTTTCCAAACCTGGTCAGCAACTGAAGATCAGAGTGCTCAACTTGAAGTCAATAACCAGCATTATATAAAGAATTTCACCGTATGTAGCTAAAAAACGCGAAGATCGCAGGAGAAGTAACTCATCATGTTATCCGGGTAAAGCCTGCACTGCTGCCGGTATAAAAGTAGCCAGGTTGGCAATGTTCTCGACTGAGTCTTAAGCCTAGAAACCATTGCTAACATGAACCGGATTAGATGCCCCCAATGGACTTACAAAACTGGATTATGCCGTATCGTGTATGAAAAGTGTGAGACGGCCGAAACACTTATCAGTGGTAGGGTGGTCACGTGCCTGCGTTTTTCCTGTGAGGTTTCTGCTTTTATCTCCAACTGAGTAGATGAATTTGCACTGTTGATCAAACTTTGCAGTGTCAAAACAGCCGTTCAGTGATTCCATCCGTTTTAGCTGGCATGTCCTTTGTACTGTACATGATAAAACTTATCATGAAATCAAATTAAGTTTCGCACTACTCAATTGTAACAAAACCCAAGCTACTTACAACACTGGTAAATGCATGGATCTCATTGAATCGTGAGGAAGTTCCAGTTTGTACAACACTTGATACCAGCCTGTGAACATCATTATCAATCAAGCGTAAAGTAGTTGTTCTCATCGGAAGTAAATGCCCATTGAAATCCGAAACCTCAAAGATGATATTAGAGTAGGCGGGCATATATCGAAGCTTCTTAAGAGCAAACAAGACAGGGTTTTGGTATTGGAGTTCAATGGAAACAAGGTTCATATCTTTTATTCACATGTGGTCAATGCTACGGTGTTTCTGGGTTCTAAGGATAACGAATTGATTCTGACCAGAATAATATGATTTTATTACAATCCGATCCTATGAAAAAGACCATTTATGATACGAACAAATGCAATGTTGTTCTACACTCGTTTTCAAACGAGGCGCAGTTCATATGTCATAGGTAGCTGTCTGCTACTACATTCCATTCCTCGAGGTTCATTTTTCGAATAATTAGCTCAATAACACCGATCCATTTATTAGGAATTCAATCGAAGGAATGCAAGGCTAATGATCGTCAAAGTTTCAGTTATGTGCCTAGAATGTAATGAACCGAACGTATGATGTCCGCGTCTTGCTGTTACTGTTATTCGAACGCAGCTCCCCGAGCTTCAAGGTTTTTTATTTCTCATTGAATAACCACGACGCGTAAAAGGCAACAAAAGTATAACAAAATATGTTTATTTATTGATTACGAAACGATTGGCAAATGTTTGCACTGTCGTGCGAGCGATCAATCCCAAATGGGAAAGCTGTACCCACAGTTATATTCACATTCTTGTCTGCTCTTGAATCGGTTTTGGTTACCTCGACAACCCCCGTAAATGAAAGGCACACATTTTCGACTTTCATTGTCCCACGCCCATCTGCGGAAGCCCGCACGACAGGGACCACGGATTACGGGTAAAAGGCATCGTTCTGAAATGGAGTAGGAGGTACAGTACGGTCAAGTCAAACAGTATGTGGGATTAACAGATATCTAGCTAACAATTCGTTTAACGTTTAAATACTAATTAACAGTAAGTTTCAAAACAACGTTTTTGATTCCACTTGTTACACATTTGTATGAATTTATATATGCACATCTAACAGACAGATACCAACGAACAAACAATACTTATTTGTAGCAAGAATAAGAGAGAAAGAGACAGAGTTGACTAACGTTGCATTCCGTGGCTACCCCCTAGGGACAGGGTAATAAGCAATACGGAAGTGAATAGCAAAAACCGCAATGAACGCATTGTGAAGTCATACACGATTGGACTGATTGCAACTTTTATACTCTTTACAAGTGGTGTAATACAACACAGGTTCATAATTGCTAACATCCGTTCGCCTCCGGCTCTAATCAGCATGGCCCACACAATTCGCCACGCTCTCTCTGTTTGTGTGCGTCGGTCAGAACATGATAGATACTCGGCATACTCCACGTCTAGTGTGAACGATCAGTCGCTTTGTCTGCATACCAGATAGCGGCACAGTGGAAAATTAAGCGTTGTAGTTAGGCACGAGGTCCTGACAACATAGTATCCGTAATTAAATGTTTTCAGTTCCTAAGCTTACAAAAAGTATTAGTGGTATCATTTGCTAATTATTGTATTTTATAAAATTTCATGCATTTGAAGAAAGGCGAAATATCTAGTTGCTAACACTACTTCTTTTAACGATTGCATTAGGTTTGATGTCGCGTATTGCCTAATGGTACCAAGTTAAAATGGAACAAAAAATATCATATTTAGCGGAGAATGAAGCATTGGATAGTGGTTTAGAATTAAACAGTATTTTCTTGAATTCAATGAAAGTTTGATGTTGTCATTGTAAGGACAAAAGATAACATCTTTTTGAAGACTTTGTACGACAAATATTAACTATTCTTTCATAGTAAAAGAAGTATGGTGTAGAGTTGGCACTGAAAATCAGACACAGGTGAATCAATTTAGTGACTAAAAGTAGTAGAAATGGAAATAAGATGAGACTGCACCACCGGTTGCCTCATCTGATCATGAAGTGTTTGCAATTTGTCTATTCACGAGTGTTGACAACTTCCGGAAATCGCATTACTCCATCGATCTGCGAGTGGCCCTCACGTCTCATTTTGTGAACGGCAAAGCGGACCATCCACGTGTCCCAGATTTTAACTGAGCCCGTTCTGGTCAAAGTCGAGTGCAGATCGAATCTTAAACAAAATTTTCGGCATGACGGTTTTATTTTTGCTGAAATAGCTTAACAATAAATTAATGAAAAGAATAAAACGATTGAGCAGACTGCTTTAATTATTTCTGTTCGATTAATGAAACTTGTAAAAACATCACTCATTTTTGAACTACATTTGGCTTACCTTTATTTGAGAGTCCTGTGGGGAATGTGGTACTGATTTGGAAAGGCCATATGTCAGGGTGAACACTTGCTCACAATTCTCAATTCATTCAGCAAATGATACACCCAGGCAGCACCGGACTCGAGTTTCACTGTTTGCGGAGCCTTTCACTGGGGACAATTCGTCGAGGCTTTGAATTTCCGACCAATCACACAGAAGGCGTTTTTGTTGCCATTATGCTAGTGGTACCACATTCGCTTTGTTTATGAGAGGTCCGGAGTTCAAATCCTGGGAAGGACGGGGAAGTGTATTGCGGATAAGCTCAAACAACAACAACAACAACAACAACAACAACAACAACAACAACAACAACAACAACAACAACAACAAAATTCAAGTATGATACCCCTGGAATGTATCGCTGACTGGATAAACTTGGAAATATGCATGGAGGAGAACTTTGGAAGATGGTCACGCAAAGGCAAAATCGAACTCGAAGAAAAACCAGTTTTGCGCATGTCGCTAAAGAACTTTATATCAATATTCTATCCAATAGAATACCAGCCATTGTTTTCGAATGCAAATTTCAAATGTGATATCTAATAAATAAAAGTTCATTCATTGGCCAATGCCGTTCAACTGCCGTGGACGGAGATCGATCGCAAGGGTGACGCATCACAGTTTGATTGCAGTGTTGTGGTGATCTAGGGGCGTAAAACACGTCGCACCCCCATTCCTCTCCTTTTCAGTCAATCACCGTGACTTTTGAATGACTGAATGACTGGCCCCGTTCAACATGCCATTTCCTCATTTAATCTGTACAGGCCTCTGAATGTGTGTTCTCATGCCAAAAGTTCATTCATAGATCACTGAGCCGGATGTGGTGTACAAAACTAAGTATAACTCGTGTGAGTCGTTAGATATGTGGCTTTTTAGATTTCTTTCGTTATATTCAACAAACCATTACATCATTCAGCACAAATACTAAGATTGATTCAAAGATTTAGAG